TACTAGGAGCAAGGACGCTACTAGGGGCACTAGGAACAAGAAGCTACTAGGAACAAAGGGCATCGCTACTAGGAACAAAGGGCATCGCTACTAGGAGCAAGGACGCTACTAGCGGCACTAGGAACAAGAAGCTACTAGGAACAAAGGGCATCGCTACTAGGAGCAAGGACGCTACTAGGGGCACTAGGAACAAGAAGCTACTAGGAACAAAGGGCATCGCTACTAGGAGCAAGGACGCTACTAGGGGCTCATATGTTTCGTGGTACTGAATTGCTTGTAGTTTGGAAGGTAGGAGCTTGGCCCCAGTTGCTCAAGAAGTCGACAACTGCAGTGGCATCACCATGCAGAGCAAAAACTACTCCTATCGACACAGCTCGGGAAGATCTGAAACACTTCACTCATGTCCTCTGGACTCTGAGTAGTTTGTCACATTGATCTCGCCAACAGACCATGGTCCTGCCTATCTCACGGCTTGGTGTTCCGCAGCTGGCGGCGCATGGCCTGTTGGCAGAGAACGGCAAACTCCCTCAACGGAGAAGAATGCGCCTCTCGCATTCGACCAGGACGCCCACCTCAAACGAACTGCTACACCAGGGCGGATGCGGTCCACTGCCTGAAATGCAGTTACAACATGTCAACTTCAACGTGCATTATTCACCTATGTGCACGGTGGAATAAGGTTGAATGTTTGGCACTGCCAGTGGCGCTTCCGCACCTCATCCACCTCAAGTCCTTCGTTCGCCTGAGCCTCCGTGTAGGCAACATCGCGGAAGCTTTGCATCCCCTGGGTGTGTCAGAGGGCCGTTCTAGTAGCATAGGGATTCATAGGGATTCCTTCGACCATATTGCTTGTGCAGTGGATGTTTCATGAAGGGAAAACAAGTAGACCTCTGGTGCGGAGCCTGAAAGCAATCAATAAGACAGATTTACTATCGGGCACTGCTTTTTAAGAGCCTCACAAATGTAAGTAAGGAGCACAGGCCTGAGCAATCCCAAGTGTTTGAATCCCAGCTGCATCTGGAAAGCGCACAAAGATGGAGTCGCACTCAGAAGAGAGATCCTGCATTGGTTCTGATTGAGCTGTGAATTTGTCCAGCGGTCCATCAGCTGAGGAGTCAAACTGTGTATCCCATTTCTTGAGAGCCCTTGCTCATGAAGCTCACACAGGTACCGTTGGATAGCATGAAACTGTTTATCGTCTTGAACTACAACGATCAAATGAGAAGCCAAAACAGAGTGGTCTCCCGGCAAGTCACTACAAAGGAAAGTAGTCTGCGCCCCAGCCTCACTCACCTGCAATATCGTGCCCAAGGTTCCAGGTGGAGGTCCTTACATATGTTCTGGGTGCAATGGTTTAACCTTTCCGGATGAGTTGGGTGGCCGCTCCATGAAAATGGTCACAACCAGAGGTTCTGCCAAACCAAAGACATCATGCAGCCTCGCCACCATCATCCACAGCTCCGAAGCTGTCATTCTCGCGCGCTCGCCTTCGGCAAGATAATTATTCATCCTGGGAAACCCTGCCCACTTGGTTTGACGTAACGGTGTTCAAGCCTCTCCGCTGATGTGTTTAATTACATGTGTGCTAGAATGTATCTTTTTTAATCTCACTCTATACAGCAGTGAACAAACAGAATCATATACAGAATTACAGAATTGTCCATGATTCGAAGGTCGGCTTTCCGACAGAGTGAATCAATGCATATTGCAGCCGAGCAGCACCACGTCACCAACACTAAAAGGTTGGCCTCCCATGTGTGTCTTTTCGTTATCCTCTCCCCAACTAGTTGGCTCTCTCTCTCTCTCTCTCTCCTGAATCTACTTGTCAAACACACACGACTCTAGGACTCGAGGAGATGAAAGGCATACAAATAGATGCTTGTCAATAGAGGGAAACGAGTCTTGGGAACTTCTGCTTCTCCTGCTTGTTCTGTTCTTCTCCTGCTGTTTCCTCACACCCCTCCTACTCCTCCTCCTCCTGCTCCTGCTCCTGCTCCTCCCTCTCCTTCTCCGTCTCCTTCTGCTTCTGCCTTTTCTTCTTCCCTCTTCCTCTTCTTCTTCTTCCTCCTCCTCTTCTTCTTCTTTGTGCTTTTCCAACCGAATTCTTTTTCCAAGTACAGCGAAGTAAAGTGAAGCCTTCAACTCCGCTCTCTCGCAGCTCGAGCCAAGCAAGTGGCATTCGAGAACAACGCCCGTCTGCTCGAAGGACATCCACGCAGTGTCTGCTTTCATGCACATCACCTGCATCACTGCCTCAAAGAAATCCCAACAAAGAAATGAAGCTCCGCTGTCTCGACTTGCTGAATGTTCAGGGTTTAGGGTTTATGCTCTATGAAAAAAAGGTCCACATCCGTTCGCCCTTCTTCAATCCTTTTTACCTGCTGTGGCCAAGTTGCAAACTGCAGCATGCTCGTCAGATGCACGAGGCAGTGATGTTCCACAAACAACGCCCTTTAGGCTGCGTCCTGCAGAAACAACACAGAAAGCATCAATTCAGTCTAGTTTCAGCATGGTGCGGATGCATGAATTCCCACGTGTCGAAGCTGTTTTGGTGCTCGGTCCTTCATGCGGGTGCAAAACTTTGGACCCTGGCCTTGCCAAAAGCCCAAGTGGAGCCCTTCGTACCTCTTCTTTGGGTACGACCCAATCTTGACCTGCCGAATGTCTCAAAATGAAAGCAATTTGGGCAAGAGAATCCAGCCAGGTGCATCGCTACTAGTAGCTTCTTGTTACTAGTAGTAAGGCCAGGAGCCATCAGGAGCCCCTAGTAGCGTCCTTGTCCTGGAAAATCTCCAGGGCTGAGTGTATTTGCTCCAGGCCTTCTCCTTCATTGACGTGCACCTGCTGGGACTCTACAGCTGAAGCCACGCCCAGGCGCCCTGCAGCCCAAACCAGCCGACCGGGCAGCACTGCCGTGCCTGGATCATCTGTGCAGAGTTAAGACGTCTGTGGAAAACCATCCATCGGTTAAAGTAGCAGCTGGCGCTTAGGCAGCTTAAAGCTGTTGGACTACACCAATCAAGTTCTGAATAGTTCTGTTGTGCTCTTCTAGCGCGCTACATGCATTTGGGAATGTGTCTCTCTCACGCATGGCTGTTCTGACTTCCTTTTTTCAATCCAAATCAAGTGACTCAAATTGCTCCATGTCTGATCCTGTTGGTCTGATTCCTTCCAAGCAGCGCAAGCGCTCCAGCAGCTGACGGCTTCGCTCTACTTGGCTGCGCAGCACTTCCAACTCTTCGGCTTGTCGCCCCACACGTTGCCACAAGCGGCTCACCTCCTTGGAGACGAAAAACTCCACTTCTTTTTTAGCCCGCTGCCTTCCCCTCCCTACTTAATTAAGTAGCCGCCTACTGAATTAAGTCAGGGAGAGGTAGCTACTACCTTCGACGCAGGATAGCTCACGCTTCTTCAAGGAAACTGCCGGCGGGGGAAGCTTCCTTGAAGAAGCGCTCGCACTAATGATTTGGTTCCTAGATTTTTAGGGAAACTTAAGGTTGGAGGCCATCGCTACTAGGGTGGAGGCCATTGCAACTAGTCCTCTGACAGTCTCTCACAGTCCTCAGCAAGCGCTCCGTAGAAACCATCTGACTTCACGTCCGCTTTCTCCGTCGCGCCGTGTTGGTCGCTTCGGAGCAAGCGCAGCAGCCATTCCTGCAGACCAAAGTTAAAGGAAATAGGTGGAAACTTCCAGAAACTTCATCGCACCTGCTCCTCCCGGAAGCTTTGCAACTTTATCTGCATTTCCTGCCAAAGAGCAGGATCCACTGTGCAGTAGGCCTCCAAAAGGGCAATCGCATTTTCTGTTTGGTATTCAATGAAGCTGCTGGAATGTCTTTGAGCGACGCCATGTGTACTTTTGTTCACACTGAAAATGCGGAAGCACCAAACAAACTAAACCAACCTCCAACTATCTGGAAAGGTCTCGGGTCTCTAACAGCGACTTTGTAGGCTCAGAATGTTCCTCGAGACCAGCACCTTGTCATGTCCGTTGTCGGATGTCACCTCGGCGCGCACTTGGTCCTAGTTGTGGATGTGCCCTGATGTTCTTCGCTCGTGCCAATGCTGATAAGGTGGCACCAACTCGGCGTATGCGCTGGCTTTGGCGCTGGCCCTCTTCCAACAGCGTGGTGTAGTCCACATTGTACCTTGACAACCAAGAAAGGCCACAGAAACATGCTTCAAAAAACAATTAAAGGACCGGATAACCCCACATATGGGCCTTTACGAATCTTAAGTTTCTAAAGCACAAAGCAGCCAGAGTCTCAATAGCTTCTACAACATGGCCTTGTCAGGAATTATATCAGAATTACACAACAGAGGGGTGGGAGAGAGGTGTGGGAGAGTAATGTGCACGGCGGATGTACGAGGTATTGTGCAGACATGTGTGTACAGCCACAACTAGCCGAAGTAAAACCCCATCGCTCTGCCGACGTAAAACCCTATAGCCAAGCTCTTTTTCATCGCGCAGACGAAAGCAGGTCGTGTGCGTGAACCTCAGCGTCGTCATGAGTATTACGTGCAAAAGACGTCATAACCGTCTGTAAAGTGAAGACCAAAGATTTTGTTTGTCACTGTCAGCACATCATTTGCGCCTTGGAATCTATGTCGCAGAGCTTTCCAATTGGGACGACGCCGTACCTGCATATGGTCGAACGATGTTTCCAAGAACCTGCAGCAGTCGATCGATATTTGCATAAAAGCACAACAGAGTAGCTTCTGCGAGGACAGTAAACCTCTCTGCGCTTCTCTCCAAGCATACCACTGAAGTTCCGGCCGTCTCCAGTAGCTCTTCATCACCATAACCTCAAGCTGAAGTGCTACGCCACATACCGACTAACATAACAACATGACAAACACTAACAAATCACAGTACAGACTCGAAACAAATCTTTCAACATCTTTCAAATGTTGAAAGGTTTGGAATTTGCAGTCTTTTCTTGAATGTATCCTCTGCCATCCTCTCTAAGCATACCACTGAAGTTGCGACCGTATCCACTATCTCTTCATCACCATAACCGCAAGCGGAAGTCTATGCCACATACTAACAAACATGAGTACAGAGACTGATGCTACCGTTTAGCTTCTTGATGTCCGGCGCAATTCACCAGAAGTAAAAGCTTAAGCCGCAGAAAAGCTTGAGCAGTCCGGGCGATTCAGTTCTGGTTTGACAAGTGATTCTAAACTGCGAAGCTTCTGAGACACTTCTGAAATCTAGCCATGTCAGCATTCAAGTTTTCCCATAAAACAAAAGCGGCCACACAAACTGAGCACAATATCGTCGCATTGCACTAAGACGCTTCAGAATCTTTAACATCAGCTAATCTTCCTGATCATCAAACAACCAATGATGCGGATACAGACACTAGCTACCTACCCCTTCCTCCCGACAATGCGACGCTTCAGTGTGAAGATACTGAGATGATTCTGAAATACAGTCGAATCAGCCTATCAGCAGCTAATCTTCATTTTCAATTACCATCAATGCCAAGACACTGAGACGCTGAAATGCAGTTGCGTCATCACCTAATCTTCCTTTCACTTCGAAGCAAAAGAAAGCTTCAATGTGAAGTCACTTCTGGCAACTTTTCTCTAGAAATCTCTCCGTCTGAACACTCCTCTAGAAATCTCTACTTCTGACTTTTCTCTAGAAATCTCTATTTCTGACAACTTTTCTCTAGAAGTCTCTATTCCTGAATACAAATCTCTACTTCTAACATTTTCCTCTAGAAACCACTACATCTGAACACTTTTCTCTAGAAATCTCTACTTCTGACCACTTTTCTCTAGAAATCTCTATTTCTGAAGACAAATCTGACCACTTTTCTCTAGAAATCTCTATGCCTGAATACAAATCTCTACTTCTGACATTTTCCTCTAGAAACCACTACATCTGAACACTTTTCTCTAGAAGCCTCTACTTCTGATCACTTTGCTCTAGAAATCTCTATTTCTGAAGCCAAACCTGACTACCTTTCTCTAGAAATCTCTATTCCTGAATACAGAAATCTCTACTTCTGGCCACTTTTCTCTAGAAATCTCTATTTCTGAAGACAAATCTGACTACTGTTCTCTACAAATCTCTATTCCTGAATACAAATAAATCTCTACTTCTGACCACTTTTCTCGAAATCTCTATTTCTGAAGA